TTGAACATCACTGCTATAGGCAGTTATGGAACTGTGACCCAACCAAACACTAGGAGCCAATGTTGGCCTCTCAGGGAAATCAGTATCCATTCCCACCTTAACTGTAATCATTCAGTGTTCCTCACCTAAACCCTAAACAATGTCACTGGTGCCAACACGATGTGGCGCCCATGAGTCTCGACAACTCATCGTACGGAAGAGCCAACCAGCAGCCTGCACAACACCCGCCTTACCAGTCTTCACCCAACTCGTTCACCTTTCTGCCAACTCGAGCACCTGCGGTAGATTCAGAACCAAGTGACAAGCAGTCTGAGATTCTGAACATGCAACACCCGTTCACCAACAAAAAAAAGCTATAGAATTCCTTTCCTTTTAACGGGAAGCACTTCTATACCTAGATTTTCGAGTTCGAGCTACTGATGGATGACACACGGATCCTCAGCCTCTTCCCCGACTCCTGGCCATATCCAGCAAATGGGACTATCGAGGAAAAGAAGACTTATACATAACAATCGCTAATGGTGTTCACCATCCTCCCCCGAAACTTGTCACCAATAGAGCAGCAGAACATCAGGACCTACATGACTTATGATAATTCAGCTGATCTGGCTTGCTGCCACCTCAAGGGCATTTACTGGGGATCGGACAATGTGACTCAGAGCCGGCTCATGGTGCAGTTGAGAAAGATTCACATGCAAGCACGGGAGAAAGCAATGGTGTACATGAATCGATGCAGAGGACTACGCGACAAACTATCACGGAGCGGTGGCAACTTATCAGAAGAGTCTTTTGTGATGGTCATCCTCCCCGATCTCGATCCCCAGTTGTCACAGGATCGAATGTCCCGAGGAAAGGTTTGCTCAATGTTGCACTATCAATCACTACAAGGTGCTTTTATACTTCCAGAGTACATCAGGTAACCATGTTTATCCTATCCAAAGGAAATAGACCCTTCTAGAAATAGAATCACCATGCGTATAGCCACGCGAGGCTATTGGCTATAAGGGATTACGGCAGGATTACGCTAGATATAGCGCGCCAGTACATCCCGAGCCTGGTCGGTGATATAATTATAATAACAGGATAAACCAAAGGATAATGGAAAAGGAGGAATAGGAAACCAAATGAGATGAGATGAAGACCAAATGAATCAGGATAAAAAGAGGAATGAAAGAGAAAGGAAATATGGAAAGGGGAAATTGGTGTAACGGGGTCGTACTCTCACACCAGTGGCACACGACTCGATCTCTTCTACATGCCCACGGAAGGATCTCGGAGATGCACCTCCGCGCTGAGCTCCGTGCCGAGTAGCAGGGCATGTACCTATATGAAGAATGACACGCAAAGAAGCCGAGTCAGCACATTGCCTTTTACGTGCATGGACAGAGCCAGAAACGACACGTACCTCCGTACTGTCACCTCTATCGCACATCAAGCCACTCGCGCGTAAATTTTTCAGACAGCAACAGCAGCAGAATTAGTACCAGCCTCGACCGACTCGTTCGTCCAGCAGTCACGTTGCATCGACTCAGCAACGACCACCGGCATCAACGTCCAGATCTGCACAAGGAACACGGAACATCGTCAGTTGCATGGCGCAAACTGACTCCTGCGTAACCGAATCTCCTCCGCATTACGACCGCGACGAGACACCGCCAGCGCTGAACGTGAATCAACTCCAACCAAACCCAACTTATGCTGATGTGAGAGTACGACCCCGTTACACCACTTGGCCTTTTTTCTACTTCCTTCCTCTATTCATTACTCATCTCATTTGGTTTCCTATTCTCACATTTTCATTAACCTTTGGTTTATCCTGCTATTATAGTTATATCACCGACCAGGCTTGGGGTGTACTGGGCGCTATATCTGGCGTAATCCTGCCGTAATCCCTTAAAGCCAATAGCCTCGCGTGGCTATACGCAGGGTGATTCTATCTTCTAGAAGGGTCTATTCCCTTAGGATAAGATAAACCTGGTTACCTGATGTACTCTGGAAGTATAAAAGCACCTTGTACTGATCGATAGTGCAATCTTTCCTCGACACATTCGATCCTGTAACACTTGGTAATCAGAGCTTTTCTCACTCGGCCGCGCTCAGCTAAGCAGCAGCAGCGGGGGATCCTGCCTCGAAAAACCACCGGGGGCGACCAATTCGACGCCGATTCTAGTAAGCACCAGCTCCGCGATTTTCGAATTACCCCCTCCGTGCGTGTTTTGAACAGGATGGCAACCTTCGACAACACCGAGGTTACCGAGCAGCTCTTCGCGCGCATCGCAGCCCTTCAGGAGGAAATGCGAGCGGATCGCGAAGCGTGGCGAAACGAGTTCGAGCGAGTAACTCGACTCGCCGGAGCGCAGCACGAGACGACAACGGCGACGACGCAGCAATCGCAGCAGTTTCTCGAGGCTCCGAAACCACGCCCACCTGAGCCGTTCGATCCGAGCGATCGAAACTCCGACGCCCGCAGATGCATCGCCGGGATGGAGATCTACTTCGCAGCCGTCGGATGGAGCTCGCCAGTCTGGGACGGTCAACGTGTACGACTCGCGGCGACACTGATGCGAGGGCCGGCACTCGAGTGGATTGGCGGCAACAGTACCTTCATCCACGGTGAAGCCACGTGGCAGCAGTTCCGCGCTGACCTGCTGAAACGCTTCGAGCCGATAAATTCCAGTTTCCTTGCCCGGGAAAAAAATCATCGACACTGACAGTTCGGGAGTGTAGCGCAGTACACGCAGCAGATGGAGGAATTTTATAACCGCATTCCCGACCTAACCGAAGGGGAAAATGTACAATCGTACCTCGCCGGGCTGAAGACCGAAGTCAAACGACAAGTCGCAGCGTCAAACTACGCGAGCTACAGTGACGTCGTTTCGGCAGCGGAGCGCTTCGACATGGTCAACGCCGGAACACGACGGACGCACGTCGACAGTACGCGACTGGGCGACCGCTCGGCTCACCCCACGTTCGCCGACCCGATGGAAGTCGACAGATTCGAGGGGCGGCCACGTCCGAAAAACACCAATTACACGTGTGATTTTTGCGGGGTGCCGGGTCATCGAATCTTCGACTGCAGCAAAATGAAAGCCGCACGCGCAGAGTATCGGGCACGCAACAGTGGCGGAATTCCTTCAGCCAATCAAAAGCCAAAAAACGGGAGTCGCCAGTAAGTGCGGATCTAGCTGGCGAAAATAAAAAGATCCGAAAACGGCCGCGGGATTCCGGGAAAATCAACTTCGACGAAGCTGATTCGACGCGAGAAGGAGGAAATGATGGGGGAAAATCTCCACCCCACGACCAGTCTTCGCCAGGGAAAATCGCCGAGGAAAAATACGACTCCGCGAAAAAAGACTCTGCCGAGACAGGGAAACTCGTTGAAGACCCAAGAAATTATAAGAATTCGTTAAAGTTATCTTATAAAGATGCTTTAATGAAAACTTATGATGTTCGAGGGGCTAGAGCCTTGGAGAAAATTCGGGAAGGACTCCAAAAGAAGCAGACAGCTGTGGAGATTATACCGGTACCGGACAACTTGGGGAAAAAATTAAGGAGTGTGGAAAGAAGCCGACCTTTCCACGGAGTCAACGTCCTCTCCCGACACCAGCCCACAACGACTACCCGTTCCCCAGGGAAGACGTCGGTGGAGCTGAAGCAGCTCAAGAGGAAGCTGGGGGTCTATAAGAAGCTGCACAAACCCCAAAAACCTCCTACGGATGCATCCAGTTCTTCGGCATCAGTGACACGCACAGTCGTCAGGGAAACTCCGGGCCCTGGAGAAGAGCCGTTCTCCAAGCAGCCTCGGCCAGCTGCCAGCTCAGGAGTAGATAGCAACACAAAGGTGTGTACGGAATATTGGGATGTACCCTATGACCCAATCAATGAAACTATCTTTGGGTACTCCGAACAACGACTGCCCCTCGTGCTCGAGGTCATCTGCAAAGGACGACGCCTCCAAGCACTCGTGGACAGCTGAGCATCACACACCGTGTGCGACAAGGCAGTGATCGACCGACTTCGGGAAGAGTGCAAGCCTTCAGGATTCTCTGCAACAATGGTGGACGGAAGCAAGTTACCAGTACACGGCGAAGCAGTGCTACACGTACAAATTGGACCACTGCGCTGGAGACCTGCACTCCCCATCACCAACATCAAAGGGCTCGACTTGATCTTCGGGCGAGACTTCCTAAAAAGATTCAACCCCGAGATCAACTGGGTGAACCGCACCGCGAGCATCTACAACAATGGACGGAGAGTACAGCTACCCCACTGGGACGATACAGGAGATATCCCAGTGGAGACACTCGCGCGATTCGAGAAGGACGTGGAGCGAACTGACACAGGGTTCCTGGCAATAGCAACAGAGGCGGAGAACGACAGGGAGAGAACCTCGGAACCTCCAAGAAAGATCAAGGAATTATTGAAGGAGTTCCAAGATATTCTTCCGGACGATCTTCCGAATGAGCTACCGCCATACCGAACGCATCAACACGAGATCGTGGAGGAACCAGGTTCGAAGCCGACCTTCCGAGCACCATATCGGCTCAGCCCTACGGAGCTGACCGACATGAAAAAACAGATCGAGTATCTCCTAGCCAAAGGACTCATCCGACCATCCACTTCGCCGTACGGTGCCCCAGTACTCTTCACACTGAAACCGGACGGAAGCGTACGCATGTGTATCGACTACCGAGCTCTTAACAAGCAGACCATCAAGAATAAATATCCGATACCGCGAATCGATGACCTGCTTGACCAGCTTCGGGGAGCTACGGTATTTTCCAAACTGGATATGCGGTCCGGATACTGGCAAATACGCATGGCGGACAACTCTATCCACAAAACTGCTTTCCGAACTCGGTATGGATCGTACGAGTATTTGGTAATGCCATTCGGACTCACCAACGCACCGGCAACGTTCCAAACCGAAATGAACCACATTCTATGACCACTTTTGGACGAGTGCGTAGTGGTGTACCTGGACGACATACTCATCTACTCGTGCGACATGAAGCAGCACGTCGAACACCTGCGACGCGTCTTCGAAATTCTTCGACGAGAACGATTCTACGTCAAACTGTCCAAGAGCGAATTCGCCCTTGAGAAGGTCCAGTTCCTAGGACACATGGTGAGCGCTCAAGGAGTTCACGTCGACCCCAAGAAAATCGGGGCCGTACGCACGTGGAAGACACCTGAGAACGTGAAGGAGTTGCAGCAGTTCCTAGGCTTCGCTAATTACTACAACAGGTTCGTGCCACAGTATGCGAAAATCGCAGCACCACTCACGAATCTGCTGAAGAAGAACACGCCCTACAAATGGGAGCCGAAGCACCAGGAAGCCGTGGAGCAGCTGAAGCAAGCATTTACGTCCGCACCGGTACTCATTTTACCAGATCCCGAACGCGACTACATCATTGAAGCTGGCGCCAGTGACCAAGCAGTGGGGGCAGTCTTGATGCAAGATCAAGGGAATGGACTGCAACCAATCGCTTACTTGAGTAAAAAACTACACGGGGCAGAACTAAACTACCCGATACATGACAAAGAGGCCCTGGCTATCATCATCACCTTCAAAGTGTGGAGATGCTATCTCGAAGGACGAAGAACAACCGTCTACACCGACCACTGCAGCATGAAATACTTGAAGACGCAACCCAACCTTTCCAGGCGGCAGGTCCGGTGGATCAACTTCCTCGAGACACACTTCCACTACGACATCGTGTACAAGCCCGGTCACAAGAACAAAGCAGACGCTCTCAGCCGGCCTGCACACGTTGCCGCTATTCAGATCGAAGGGATAAATCCACTACTCAAGGGACTCTTCACACACGGGTACGCCACTGACCCCGAAATTCCCTTTGGCAGAAAAACGACATCTGCTACAGTGGGACAGTGACATCGCATACCGGAAAGGATCAACAAAAATCTGGGTACCCAATTACCCTCCTTTGCGCCAGTTACTACTCAAAGAATACCACGACGTCCTCTACGCCGGACACTTCGGTAGCAACAAAACGCTGACCGGTATCGCAAAGCACTACTACTGGCCCCACTTAGCAGAAGATGTCAAAAAATTCGTCACCTCGTGTGATACATGTCAGCGGATGAAGAGCAGCAAGCAGAAAAAGGCGGGACTACTGCAGCCTCTTCCTGTCCCAGAACAACCATGGCAAGTGGTTAGCCTGGACTTCATCACCGGGTTACCACCTACCTCCACCGGTCATGACGCCATCCTTGTCGTCATTGACAAGTTCTCCAAAATGGGACACTTCATCCCGACACACACGACAGCACGCACCGAAGAAACAACACAACTCTTCGTTGGATACATCATCTCACAGCATGGCATTCCAACCACACTCATCTCCGACCGAGACCCTAAGTTCACCAGCAAGTTCTGGAAGGAACTTATGTCTCTCCTCAGGACCAAACTCGCCATGTCATCTGCTTACCATCCGCAGACAGACGGACAGACCGAGCGCCTCAACCAAATTGTTGAGCAACTCCTCCGAGCAGCCTGCAAGGACGACATCTCCAAATGGGACTTGCACCTGCCCGTACTAGAGTTTGCTTACAACAATGCTACACATGCCGCTACTGGACAGACGCCGTTCTTCCTCTGCTACAGACGCCACCCACTCACACCACAGAAACCGACAGCATCAGCTACAGTCCAACCAGCACATGATTTCATCACAACCATGCATTAGCTTTGGGATCGGACCCACAAGCGCCTACTCGACATTCAACAGCAACAGAAGCGCCAAGCCGATCGCCATCGCAACGATCACACCATCACGGTGGGAGACCAGGTGCTTCTTGACACCCGCAACCTGGACATCAGCCATCTCCCATCTAAACTACGACCTCGCTTCTGCGGGCCTTTTCTCGTTGAAGCACAGGTGACTCCTGTTACCTTCCGCTTACGCCTGCCAGCTACCTGGAAGATTCACAACGCCTTCCACGTCCAACTTCTGAAGCCCTATCGGGACCCGAACACGATTTTCGTCGGACGCCAACCGCCGCCGCCACCGCCCGTCCTCGTCCAGAATGAACCCGAGTACGAGGTCGAGTCCGTGCTCGCACACCGCCGCCGTCGGAATGGCACCGTGGAGCTTCTCATCCGTTGGAAGGGTTATGATCCTTCTGAGGACAGCTGGGTACCTGAATCCGACATGGGTAACGCCCGTCGTCCTCTGCATGACTACCTTGTCAAGCAGGGTGTTACTTCTACCACCCAGCTTTGAAGGGGGGAAGTGTGAGAGTACGACCCCGTTACACCACTTGGCCTTTTTTCTACTTCCTTCCTCTTTTCATTACTCATCTCATTTGGTTTCCTATTCTCACATTTTCATTAACCTTTGGTTTATCCTGCTATTATAGTTATATCACCGACCAGGCTTGGGATGTACTGGGCGCTATATCTGGCGTAATCCTGCCGTAATCCCTTAAAGCCAATAGCCTCGCGTGGCTATACGCAGGGTGATTCTATCTTCTAGAAGGGTCTATTCCCTTAGGATAAGATAAACCTGGTTACCTGATGTACTCTGGAAGTATAAAAGCACCTTGTACTGATCAATAGTGCAATCTTTCCTCGACACATTCGATCCTGTGACAGCTGAGATCACACGCGAAGAACCATCCGGCAGAGACACTGGGTTCCTCGACAGCTGCTGCGGGCAGCATATGTGTTCTTCAGCGCACTTTGTCCAGCTGGAGAAGACACTTATTCGGGAAGTGGTGATTACGGTCACCAACAATCAGAACATGCGCACAAGGAGATTGTGAGTTGTTTAGCTACTCTGAGAGTACGACCCCGTTACACTAATTTCCCCTTTCCATATTTCCTTTCTATTTCATTCCTCTTTTTATTCTGATTCATTTGGTCTTTATCTCATCTCATTTGGTTTCCTATTCCTCATTTTCCATTATCCTTTGGTTTATCCTGTTATTATAATTATATCACCGACCAGGCTCGGGATGTACTGGCGCGCTATATCTAGCGTAATCCTGCCGTAATCCCATAAAGCCAATAGCAAAAGGCAAGCAAAGAAACATGACATCAACGACTGGGAACCTCGGAGATTCAAGGTTATTCGACACGATACGAGCAGGCATGCTCGACAAAGACGCCCTCCTCCTACCCGACGGAAGAGAATTACGCTGGCCGATATGCACCTGTTTCATTTGCCCAGAAGCTGACTTACCGCGTCAACCATTAGACATGAAATTGTAAGGCGGGCGAAATGCATGCGGCTCGTCAGGAGACCATATTTGGGTTCCGCGATTTGAACTTCATGGCAGAACTGCACGGCAACCTCGTTATAGCAGTGTACGCCGTACTAGCTAAAACCCGGGATAAGGAAACACCATTTTCTTACACCGACATTCAGGGCGTGTTTGCAGGAAGACCTATTTTCATACATAAGATTCTGTGCATTGTTATTCTGCCTGTTTTAACAGATTTTTAAAATCAGCGTAAAAATGAGGCCTAACGCGGTTTTTTTTTTTTTTTTTTTTTTTTTTATTTATTTATTTTATTTTATTTTATTTTAACCTCTATGCTTATTTTTCAGCCTTTTTCCAGGGGGTGACGCTGACGACCACCCCAAGGGATGGCAGGGGAGGCTGCCATCCATATATCTAAGTGTTTATACCCTATATAAACCGAACCCCAGCAAGGCTATAGTTCATATATTTCTAACACACATATATATGAACGTTAACACACTCCTTAGCCTGGGTAGGGGCAGAGCCTAACAAGAGATAGTAATCCAGGGCATCACTACTAGTCTGGCCTCTAGAGTATGTAACAAAACAGCTCAGGGCAGCACTACTAGTTTGACCACTGAGACAAGGGCCAAAAAGGACAGTCAGCAAGTGTAACAACATAGCCGGTATAGACAAACACATACAAAGCCGGTATAGCAGAGATCAGGTTACAAGCCAGTGTGAGGCAACAGGAACTAGACCAAGCTGAGTACAGAACCGTTCATGATTACGAGGCGCAAGTGCCTTGGTGAAAATATCAGCAGCGTTGGCCTCTGAGGCCACCTGTAATACGCCGGTCTGGCCACGCTGCAGCAACTCACGTAGCAGGAAGTACCACAGCTGGATGTGCTGGGCCCTGCCCTCATGCCGAGCCTCCCGACACTGGAGGATCATGGCCTTGTTATCAGCAAACAGGACCGGGGCAGAGCTGGGCCGCTCACCTAAGTCAGTGAACAGTAACGTCAGCCAGCGGAGCTACACTGAGGGAAAAAACTGTCCGGATGCAGGGGCTCTATTGCGTTTTTTAGCCATAATTTCAGAGAATGATTAAGCCTTAATGTGAGAACATTCTTGTGTCATGGGCACATGTAGTCTCAACTCTGTCCCCTGGTGTTAGCTCGTTTACCTCATACAAACATGCTCACGACACATTATACATACAAGGTCATCATCCGGACAGTTTTTTCCCAAATCACCAAAAGATCTACTAATCCAGATTCTAGAAGCTAGTCCACCTTCCCCCAGCCTTGATCACAGCACGCACACGCTTCGGCATGCTGTCTATGAGCCTCTTGCAAAAATCCGCGGGAATCTGCTCCCACTCCTCTTGGATCCGCTCCCAAAGTTCCACCATTCCTGATGGTGGCTGCTCGTACTTGGACAGCTCCTTTTTGAGGTGAGCCCAGAGATGCTCGATCGGGTTAAGATCGGGGGAGGAGGAGGGCCAGACGAGCACGGAATAGTCCTGCTCCCCAAGGTATTCCTGCACTAGGCGACACTTATGCTTGGGGTCGTTATCATGTTGGAATATGACTTTACATGGCGTGAGGCTATAGAACTCGATAGTGGATGTGAGTTCATCCTGTAAAATGCTGCGATACAATGGCCCATCCATCCTCCCATCAATCTTGCACATAAAACCCGCGCCGTCATAGGTCAAGCACCCCCACACCATCACAGAACCCCCTCCATGCTTCACCGTTTGTCGGATTTGATGGCTCTGCAGGTTGTTGCCGTCGCGGATCCAGGCGTATGCGCGGCCGTCCGAGCAAAACCGATTTATCTTCGTTTCGTCGGACCAAATAACGCGCTTCCAGTCCTCGAGCGTCCAGTCAACGTGCGCCCTAGCAAACTCTAGCCTGTCCTTAATGTTCTGCTTGGACAGTCGCGGTTTCTTCGGTTGCGATACTGCGACTAGACCAGCTTCACGAAGTGAATTCCTAACTGTCTTAGGGCATACGTTAACATCGTGTGCTGTTCCTAGCATTTTTGCCGCGTCATCGCTCGTTTTCGCCACGCCACTAGTAATAGCTCGAATAACGGTGCGCTGGAGTCGGTGTGATATAACACGTGGCCTTCCACCTGGCGGCATCGTGGGTCGCACCTCATCGCGGCTAGTCTCTGCGATGACTTTGAGACTGTAGTCATGGACGGTGCTTTTACCTACACCTAAATCTTTCGCTATTTTCCGCACGCTAACCCCCTTGCGCAGAAGCTCGATCATACGTGCTCGTCGCTTCTCATCGACCGGCTTCATGGCGTCTGGACCGTGTGTGGACTACGGGGCTACGGAGCGGCGGCGAGAAGTTCGCTAGATCGAGACCTAAATCAAGAACGGAGGCGAATGTAGATGTCGAACGTCGATCGGAAAAAACTGTCCGGAAGCAGTCCATCTTGCAAAGCCTTATCCTACGTTAGTCATCTTCATTATTACAAACCAGAACTCGGTGGGTTCATGAATATACGCACTGTTATACACACAGGGAAATTTGAGGAAACTTATTGTTACCCACACAGGCAAAAATTGACCAGCATTAGCCTAAACCCATTTATCCGGACAGTTTTTTCCCTCAGTGTAATGAGCAGCCGTAGCACAGCGTAGATCTGTGCCTCACAACTGGACAGCGCTACAGAAGAGGACCTAATGGACCACCAGCGGTTGCGTAGACGGCTGCAACTGCGCAGATAGTTGCGCGAGCGCCTGTAGTAGCGGGCTGTGAGGAAGCGGCAGCGGCGGGCTGCAAGCTATGCAATCAAGTTAAGGGAGGGTGGGAGGCTGGGAGCTACCTAGGCTAGGGTGGGAGGGGAGTGAGGAGCATCTAGGGTGGAAGCGCTATGGCTAGGGTCTACCTAGCTCGATACCATGTCAAGAGAGGAGAATGAGTAGATTAGGCAAGGCAAAAAAGAAACCTATATCTAGTGTTTATTGTCAACTTATACATATATTTGTATGTAGAAGTTATAGGCTAGATAGGTGTGTGTTCTTAGAGGGTACAACTCCAACCCTATATCTCCCCTGTACTCTCTTGTTTCCATTCATTCTGCTATTCTAACATGGTATCATCATAGGTTAGGTCCGCCCACCCACTTCCGCCCCTCGCCCTAGCCTACCGCCCCGTTGCACCCTAGCCTTACCTAGCGCCCCGCCCACCCCTAGCACCCCACCGACCCCTAGCGCACCCCACCAGTCCCTAGTGTGCCCGCTGACATCTAGCGTGCCTGCCGGCCTTTCGCGCAACCCGCCGGCCTCTAGCGTGCCCATCGGCCCTTTGCGCACCCCACCGGCCCCTAGCGTGCCCGTCGGCCCCTAGCGTGTTGCGCCGGCCCCTCGTGTACCCGCCAGACCCCAGCGCGCCCTGCCGGCCCCTCGCGCACCTGCCCGGCCCCTCGCGCGCCTCGTCGGCCCTTCGTGCATGCCGGCCCCTCGCCTGCATGCTGGCCCCTAGTGTACCCCGCCGGCCCCT